AGAGTGCTGTATGAACGTGTGTGTGTAGTAGAGTGCTGTATGAACGTGTGCGTGTAGTAGAGTGCTGTATGAACGTGTGTGTAGTAGAGTGCTGTATGAACGTGTGTGTGTGTAGTAGACTGCTGTATGAACGTGTGTGTGTAGTAGAGTGCTGTATGAACGTGTGTGTGTGTAGTAGTGCTGTATGAACGTGTGTGTAGTAGAGTGCTGTATGAACGTGTGTGTGTAGTAGAGTGCTGTATGAACGTGTGTGTGTGTGTGTGTGTAGTAGAGAGATGTATGAACGTGTGTGTGTGTGGTAGAGTGATGTATGAATTAGGGCTGCAACCAACGATTATTCCCAAATCCGATTAATCGTTCGATTATTTTCGGTTAATCTGCAACCTGCAGATTATGACGAGTTGTATCTGCTGCTGCTCCTTCATCCTCCTCGTGACTCCGACATGCTTACGTTTCATCTCCGTGGTTCTTCCATGTCGTGTCGTCACTTTTCAAAGCTGCATGTTGCAGTTTTTATCTTTGTGAAGCGTCAAGTTCTCCTACACTTTGGAGGACTTGAGTCGGAACAGTTTTCTCTGCGTCGGTCATTTAAAAAATGTACTTAATTTCCTTTGAAAACACCGCCTCTGCTCTGCTCCTGCCTTCCCCCTCACTCTGTTAAACTCGCGCTGCAGTTTTTTTTTTTCTTCTTCAAACTTTATTCAGTCAGTCAGCATAGACAACGGCTTCGCAGTGCCGTGAAAGACGCTTAATCGCGCAACACAACAAATCGGTAATGAAATTCGTTGGCAACACTTTTAATCGATTTTTAGCAATTTTATCAATTCGTTGTTGCAGCCCTAAATTCATTTATCATTTATACTACAATTAGTTAATTGTTTATGCTTTAGTTCTAAACCTTATTTCAACCTCAAAATTGCTTTGAACCGTTTTTGGACCGAGCTTTGGTCCTTATAATGTTTTAAGAGTTGTTCATTTATTACTTCCTGTATAACAAAGGTTGAAAAATAGATTTTATTGTAATCTCATCATAGATCATGAACTTAAAATGTGAACATGGGTCACCGTTGGCTGAACCCCACCTTGTGATGTCACCTGATCAGACTCTGAGAACAAATAAAAAGATGGATGATGGAGGAGAGCTCAGTTCTGGGGACAAAGACAAACAAAACAAATGGAGTAAAAAGAGTTGAAGGATTTTATTGTTGTCCCTGCAGTGGCTGCGAGCACTCCCCTCCAGCAGGCAGAGCTTCAACCTCATGTTTGGAGAGTGTCCCTACTGCAGCAAGGTAACACACACACACACACAGAGTTCATCATGAAGCTTTGTCCTCTGTAGCTCATTCAGACTGCGATGTTTACATCAAACTGAAACTTCTTCTGTTTCAGCCTATCACAGTCAAAATGGCCACCCAGAAGTCATGAGGAGAGGCTCGCTTCATTCAGAGATCTACTTCCTGTTGATGAGATCTACTTCCTGTTGATGAGATCTACTTCCTGTTGATGAGATCTACTTCCTGCTGCTAAATCACAGTCTATGTCTGAAGGGTTGTAGCAGGACTTTGGCAAGCTCAAAAATGGCCCCCAGTAAAAGAACGACCCCCAAATAGATGAAGCAAGAACTCTGTGAGTGCAGTAGTGTGGAACCAACTTCTTGTCTCAGATCACTGGGACCAGGACCAGAACCATCCCTGTGCTGCCAGCAGACCTGACAACAGTCTGCTCTCACAGGAAGTGGCCTTTCAGCTGGACCTTCTCTGGAATGTGTGTGTGTTTGCTTGTCACTCTTTGCTTGTGATGGTCTGTGTGGCTCAGGTGGAGGCTCCTGGATCCTCCTCCAGGTCATGCTCCACTCCTCAGTGGTCCTACCAGTCCTTTTGGGTCTAGTTCTCTGTTAAAATTCAAGTGCATGCCTCTGATGAAACTCACACTGTGTAAATGAAAAGTGCATTTCTTCTGAAGTATGTAAAAACATTTGGAGTTCAGAAGAAGAACCCAGACGTTCTTTTCTTTGGGAATCACACCTGTTTGGGCGGAGCCTCTTGGCTGATCGGAGGCCCTCTCAGATGGCACGCCAGAACAGGTTTGGGTCTGACCTTGTCTTCCTCCTTACTGCCATCTTCCTCAGAAGTTGGTGCAGGCCTCGGTGATCTTCTGACTGCTCGTAAAGCTTCATCCTGTCAAAGCAACAAACAGCAACTCAGTCTAACGTTTAACTGAAAACCTGAAGGATCAGATCCGTGCTGGTTTCACTTCAGAGTCTTCAGATCTGCCGCTCTGTGGTGTTACTTCATCAGCCTGAATAAAAAAACATACTTCAGAGAAGAAAACTGAGCACAAACCTCAAAGTATCCTGATGCATGCTCAATAATCCAGGTAGAACAATCCAAAAAAGTTCAATCTGGTCCTCTGGATATTCAAAAAAAAAGAAAAAAATAAAGCAAAAAAATGTAGAAACGTTTTGTCTCTCATCCAAGAGACTTCCTCAGTCTGAGGTGCTGTTTTCAGCTCAGTCTCTTAAATAGCACCTTCTCAGAGTGGATCAACCAGTTTGCTGCTGACAACCAAAACCAGCTGATCACATGGTCAAGAAGGACCATCAGCCTAACAATGGATCATTAGCACGCTGATGGCTGTTTACTATTCACAGAGGGCTGAGTGATACTAGCAATCACAGCATTGTAAGAGGGGGACAGTTGAACATGGAGGCCTCCACCCCTGTTTAATGATGGATGATTTCTTTTCACAAAGATGGCCTCCTTTACTCCTCTCTCAAACCATCGTTCCTCTCTGTCCAGGATGTGAACATCTTCATCCCTGAAAGAGTGACCGCTGGCCTGGAGATGAGTGTAGACCGCAGAGTCCTGGCCTGATGATGTTGATCTTCTGTGCTGGGTCATCCTTTTGGCCAGTCCCCCAGCACAAACAGAGTAATGTTGTGTATGCTGTTCAGTGTCAGGAGGGCTGCGATCAGTCTTACATCGGTGAAACTAAACAGCCACTGGCCAAAAGGATGGACCAGCACAGAAGATCAACATCATCAGGCCAGGACTCTGCGGTCTACACTCATCTCCAGGCCAGCGGTCACTCTTTCAGGGATGAAGATGTTCACATCCTGGACAGAGAGGAACGATGGTTTGAGAGAGGAGTAAAGGAGGCCATCTTTATGAAAAGAAATCATCCATCATTAAACAGGGGTGGAGGCCTCCGGGTTCAATTGTCCCCCTCTTACAATGCTGTGATTGCTAGTATCACTCAGCCCTCTGTGAGTAGTAAACAGCCATCAGTGTGCTAATGACCCATTGTTAGGCTGATGGTCCTTCTTGAGCAGGTGATCAGCTGGTTTTGGTTGTCAGCAGCAAAACTGGTTGATCCACTCTGAGACGGTGCTATTTAAGAGACTGAGCTGAAAACAGCACCTCAGACTGAGGAAGTCTCTTGGATGAGAGACGAAACATTTCTACAATTTTTTTGCTTTTTTTTTTTTTTTTTTTTTTGAATGTCCAGTGGACCAGATTGAACTTTTTTGGAAACCTCAAATTGTTGTAACAGGATTAATGTAAGACATGATTGTAAAGTGGAAAGAAAACAAGATGTCACTTCTTGTAAATAAATGAAAAACTGAAGTTTGTGTTCAGGCCCCGGAGGCAGCAGTTTTTGTAGAACCACTTCGCTACTACTCCAGCCAGGTTTTCTTGAGTTTGTCTCTACCAGCTTCAGATCTGGACTTTCACTGGGTTGTAACTCATAAGTAGGTGCAGGCAGCCTGTTTGAGTGTCTGTGTGACTGGTTGTTTCTAATTATTCATTCTTGGAATTAAACAATATCAACAGGAAAATCAATGTTTTTATGCCCCAGAATGATGCACGCTGCTGCAGATGGATCCACCGTGGGATGACATGTAGAAGGTTTGATTTCTAAAATACATCACTGCAATAAAACAACTCTCGAGTCACTGCTGCAGGTCCAAAGCCCAGATAAAGATCAAACAGAAGTATAACTTCTGTAAAAGAAAAGCTTTAGATGTAGTTTGAAACATTCATGCAGTTCATTTCTTTATCTAAGAGCTGCAGTAGCTCTGCTGCGGTCCAGTAATGTGAGGTTGTGGGTTCAAGCCCGGGTTGTGTCAGGAAGACCATCTAGGTGAAAAAAAGACTAATCTTTTATGAGAGTTCGATCGCTGTGGCAACCCCTGAAGGAGGGAGCTGTTGAATAAACTTACTTGAACTGTTTTCTCTATTTTGCATTTAAGTTTTAGAACAAATTTCGTTTAGTTGCTGTTTGCAATTAATGTGTGCAAAAATGTTACTGGATCATGATTCCAAATGAAAGTGTTAAGAGTGATTTTTATGGCAAGTGTTTTATTGATCGGAGGGATTCAGTAGTAGGAGGGTGACTGATGTTACTTCCTAGTAGATAAATGAAATTCATGTGAAAATATTTACAAGGACTGGCCCAAGTCTCAAATCTTAATCAGGATACGGCTACAAGCTAGAAGGTCACATCGTGTTAGCAAAACGCTGCCACCGCTGATATCACGTCTGCTAGGCCATATTCATGACCTTGGGCATCCACTGTCAGATTCAACCTTGCTGTGGAACGGAAACATTGTTCAGCAGCAGGGGAGGATAGAGTTATTTGTGTAGAATCTGGACCACATCTACTCTACTTTCTTTTCCATTCAGCAGACCAAGCTACAACGACAAGTACTTCTTATTTTGCACTGAAAAGACTAATGTAGGGAGGCTGAGCATAGTGCTGTGTGCATGAAGAGTGTAGATTCAACATTGTAGAACGTGGTGAAAATATTACAGTAACTTTACTGCCAGTGCAGTGCAGGCAATAGGGTTATGGTCTAAGTATGAGGCCAGCGTGGCCAGTCTTAAATCAGATTTTTTTTTAAAATGTTTTATCAAGGTCTTCTTATTAAGTTTCTTCTATTTTTTTACACAAACAACAAAGAAAACGCAAAACAAAATCCCCTCCCCATCCACACCGGATCAGTCACACATACACAAATAACCTATGGACATGCACTGACATGTTTTCAACATACAACACAAAAGTCTGCCAGGTGTCACAAAATCTTTTTACAGAACCTTCAAGAGAAAAAAATAAACATAAAAAATTTAATAAATAAAAAACAAAGGAGTGTGACATGAAAAACTTGTTGTTTTAATTAAAACAATAAGTTTGTATCTGTTGTGAGATGATTCTAGCAGTTTAAGTTTTTTTTATCTACTTATTGAAGAATAATATGACTTCAAATCATTCATAAAACAGGAAGGAAGGCTTATTATCCCTCCTCTTACTATAATGAATGTGGTACTTTGCTATAAGTACGACTATATTTATGTCATCAGAAAAAGCTGAGCTTGAGTTATCCACATAAAGTAAAATGACATCAGCATGAAAATAAGAAATGTTGAGTTTGAGATTAATCCAGTTTCTGATGTCTGACTAAACACTTTGTATTGACATGAAAAAATAAAAAAAATTGCTCGAGGGATTCATCTTCTGATTTACAAAACGCACACAAATCAACATCAAATTTAAATCTTATTTCAAGAAACATGGCTACAGGATATATCTTATTTATTATTTTAAAATGATTCTCCTTCACTTTAGGAAATTTAGACAATTTGACAAATTTAGAATGAGCAGAAATCATTCTGGTTTTATGATTTATACTGGGAGGTTTCTTGAAGGAATCTTTGTTATAATCAGTAAATCCTTTGTCGCAAACATTCATTGATAATCTTATTACATTTGAAGTCAACTAAGTTACAGTCATTTAGTTTTAATGTGGGCATCAAATCATCACCTTTGAATATATATTTTTAATTATTTGAATCAGCTGTTGGTCAGGCTACTTCTTGTTGTGCCATTAGCTCTAAAATAGTTATTGAATCAAGTATTTACTTGTGTAGGTAAAACTAGATGTTTAACAACCGTTAAAATACACAGGAATGCAGGAAATGGTATCTACTTTTTAAAAAAAATTCTGGGGGACGACCCCCAGACCCCCCATCCCCCATTACAAATGCTTCTGACACCAATGTCCAACACGTTGCTGAACAAGTACACATGGTGTTATATGGTGTTTAAAGTGTGTTCAACCTAATTCAGTCTTTATGATTTTCGTCAACAAGAGGACATTGTAGCATTTATAGTTCTATGAGCATTTGGAGTTTTATACATCAAAACACACTTGATAGTTAGAATTTTAAGTACAGGTCCTTCTAAAAAAATTAGCATATTGTGATAAAGGTCATTATTTTCCATAATATAATGATAAAAATGAAACTTTCATATATTTCAGATTCATTGCACACCAACTGAAATATCTCAGGTCTTTAATTGTTTTAATACTGATGATTATGGCATACAGCTCATGAAAACCCAAAATGCCTGTCCCAAAAAATTAGCATATTTCATCCCACCAATGAAAGACAAGTGTTTTTAATACAAAAAATGCCAACCTTCAAATAATCATGTTCAGTTATGCACTCAATACTTGGTCGGGAATCCTTTTGCATGAATGACTGCTTCAATGCGGCGTGGCATGGAGGCAATCAGCCTGTGGCACTGCTGAGGTGTTATGGAGGCCCAGGATGCTTCGAAAGCGGCCTTAAGCTCATCCAGAGTGTTGGGTCTTGTGTCTCTCAACTTTCTCTTCACATTATCCCACAGGTTCTTTATGAGGTTCAGGTCAGGAGAGTTGGCAGGCCAATTGAGCACAGTAATACCATGGTCAGTAAACCATTTACCAGTGGTTTTGGCACTGTGAGCAGGTGCCAGGTCATGCTGAAAAATGAAATCTTCATCTTCATAAAGCTTTTCAGCAGATGGAAGCATGAAGTGCTCCAAAATCTCCTGATAGCTAGCTGCATTGACCCTGCCCTTGATAAAACACAGTGGACCAACACCAGCAGCTGACATGGCACCCCAGACCATCACTGACTGTGGGTGCTTCACACTGGACTTCTGGCATTTTGGCATTTCCTTCTCCCCAGTCTTCCTCCAGACTCTGGCACCTTGATTTCTGAATGACATGCAAAATTTGCTTTCATCTGAAAAAAGTACTTTGGACCACTGAGCAACAGTCCAGTGCTGCTTCTCTGTAGCCCAGGTCAGGCGCTTCTGCCGCTGTTTCTGGTTCAAAAGTGTCTTGACCTGGGGAATGCGGCACCTGTAGCCCATTTCCTGCACACGCCTGTGCACGGTGGCTCTGGATGTTTCTACTCCAGACTCAGTCCACTGCTTCCGCAGGTCCCCCAAGGTCTGGAATCAGCCCTTCTCCACAATCCTCCTCAGGGTCCGGTCACCTCTTCTCGTTGTGCAGCGTTTTCTGCCACACTTTTCCCTTCCCACAGACTTCCCACTGAGGTGCCTTGATACAGCACTCTGGGAGCAGCCTATTCGTTCAGCAATTTCTTTCTGTGTCTTACCCTCTTGCTTGAGGGTGTCGATGATGGCCTTCTGGACAGCAGTCAGGTCGGCAGTCTTGCCCATGATTGCGGTTTTGAGTAATGAACAAGGCTGGGAGTTTTTAAAAGCCTCAGGAATCTTTTGCAGGTGTTTAGAGTTACGTCGTTGATTCAGATGGTTAGGTTAATAGCTTGTTTAGACAACCTTTTCATGATATGCTAATTTTTTGGGACAGGCATTTTGGGTTTTCATGAGCTGTATGCCATAATCATCAGTATTAAAACAATTAAAGACCTGAAATATTTCAGTTGGTGTGCAATGAATCTGAAATATATGACAGTTTCATTTTTATCATTACATTATGGAAAATAATGACCTTTATCACAATATGCTAATTTTTTTAGAAGGACCTGTATATTTACTGTATATTATGGTAATTTATTCTGTATTTTGACAAATTATGGTGATTCTGGGGTCGTGATGATGGGGCTCTTGAAGATGGTTGCCCAGGGTACAGCAAAGTGTTAATCTGGCCCTGAAAACAAATCTAGCCAGAAAAGAGACAAAAGCAATCACATCCTTCTAGTACTTGCTGAAGGACGTATCCAAGTATCAAAAATAGATGACCAAAAGGTTTGCAGTTTGGGACAAGTCCAGAATGTGTGTAAAAGCGTAGCTGGAGGTCGTTTACAACAATTACATGCAGGGTCCAGGTTGGCTTTGATCTTGGACAGCTTGTCTTTGGACCACTGCAGCTGGTGTATCACCTTGAATTGAATTACACAACATGTCTTGGACAGATTGAGGATGAGTAAATGTTCTTAATGACCTTTCACCAGATTGAGTCTGATATGGATTCCTCAAAGTCCGTTTCTCATTTCAGTTTATGAGAATACAAACTATTTTGGATTCTTATCAATTTAGCAACATCAGTTTGCAGTCTCCACATTATGGATGCACTGCCATACTGCTCGCAGGACCTTAATAACGCCACAACCTTTATGAATGTTTTCTGTGATTTCAAAAGCGTCATGGATCCATCACATCTATTAGGGAGCTCACTGTGCTCAGATCAACAGAAACCAACTACAATAGTTAATTTTATTGATGTGCCAAGCTCATCCAGCGTGAAGGGACATTACTGATGCTTTACCTGCTGTGGTGGAGCTGTTAAGGGTGGACCTCTGATGTAGCGAGCTTGCACTGGTTTGTTTTTTCTCTTAGAGTCTTCATCGGCCACCTCTGCATGTCTCGGCTTGGCTTTAGTTGGTCCTCTGGCTGCTTCTGCCTTCTGTTGACATAAAAAAAAAAACTTTTCAGAAAACTTGAGAACAAGCAGTAAGCTGATGTTCCCCAATGCCGAGGAGCTTGAATGGTGAATGCTGCATATTCAAGAATCTAACAAGGTTGAGTCAGGTCCTCTGGATGGATTCTTCCATGTTGAAAATGTGTTGTCTTTTATCCAAAAGACTTCTTCAGTCTGAGACCTGACTCAATCTTGTCGGATGAACAGTGAATGTTTGTAGTTTTCGAGATGAGTGTTTTTTTCTGGATTGAAATTAAAAAGGGAATCCAGGTGAACCTGAACGTTTTTAGTGAATCATATTCAAGTGGGTAGAAGTTGCTCTGTGTATAAGAAAAGAGATGGATTTTATTTTTGCTTGTCCAAGGTGGCGCAGAGTGATGAATCTTTGTAAGCAGAGGGAGCAATTTGATCCCTTACCCGGTGCAATGGCAGAGCCTGGGCATGGCTAATGGTGGCCTTGGCCACCAAAGACTAATTTTCAGCCACACCAGTCATTTGATGAAACTATACTTTTAAGCAAACAAAACTAGAAAGCAGATGGTGGCCATTTTGTTTTTACGTGGGAACCCAATTTTTGATAGTGACCTTTCCGCCACACACCATAATGGAAGTTGGTACATTTGCTTATTTATCAAGTTATCAGGCTCACAGAATGGACAGTATTTCTAATTCTACTCTTCACTCTGAAACTGGGTACAAAAAGGGGGGTCATAGCCTTATCCATAATATTTCAATAATTTCACCTTTTTTTATCATATCATGCAAATACTGTTCAGAACTTTTAAAGAAAAATCTTTAAATCAAAGTGTCCTTCAGGAGAAAACAGTGATCACTCATAAAATAGTCCCATCTCTTCTACAGAGATGGTAAATGACTGGAAGAACGTTCAGTGCCCTTTATCTGTGCTGACATTTACTCTCCACTGAACCATCGGTAAACGGCCTCTTGTGTTTAACAAGGGATCAAACTGGGCCGCACTTTAACGCTCTCACGTGGAAACCCAGCAATGCAAAGAGATGAAAGCAAATCACCAGCATAATTATAGACACCCCGAGCAGGTAGAGTGAGTCATCAGCTCCTTCAAACCAGGCTGGAGAGAGGGTCATCACTGGGTCCCCAGGGTCAAGAAAAAGACAGTCGTCCTCCAGTTTTAGACATGTCCAACAATACATGCTTATTTTAGGGACAGTTAAATGTCCCTTTTACTGCTGGAGGCAAAACACTTTACAGAGGAAACAGAACACTATGACCATAGAACTAGGATAAAACAAAAGGGCATCTTTGGTCAATTCCTAAAGTTTAAACATGACATTAGTGAGACATCTGGTCTCTCAATGAGAATATCTATACTTCTGATCAGCAACAAAACTCATGATGCTGTGTCATCATTTATTTACCAAAAAACTGAAGCAAATGACAAACACTCATAAGCTCAGTCTGTCCTTACAGCTACAACATGAATTCAGAAGTAAAGCAGAAACATAAAGTCATGGATCAAATGGTTTGATAAACTGATCATCATCAACAAAAACCTTACTGAAGCAGCTGTTAATGCTCATCAATCTGGCAAAGATTAAATGTCATTCCCAAACTGTTTGGAGTCCATCAATCTATCAAGAGAAAGATTATTCACAAGTGGAAAGCATTTAAGATGGCCAGCAATCTTCTCAAGAGTAGACGTCACAACAAATTCACCCTAAAGTTAGACTATGTTCACAGAAATGACAAAAATGATAAATGGACTGTCCTTATACAGCTCCTTTCTATTTAATCCAGATACTCAAAGTTCTTTACAACACTCTGTGCCCACATTTACCTCCACACACACATTCATACATCACTCTACTACACACACACATTCATACA